GTTGAAGTCCACTCATCTTAAAGTGGCCAAGTTTGGACAACACTGTCCTAGATTCTAGGGAATTCGAAATATGTACTGGAGACATGAGTTGCAAAATCTCAGGAGAGGGAACTATCACCTGAGAAACTGTCATTCAAGATAGGCATAACCAGTTTTTAAAACTTTAGAATCAGTGGCTGCAACTCTGCAATTTCCTACATGGAAAAAGGCTACCTAGTCCCTTTGTGCTGTCAGGCCAAAATGTTTTTGTTTTTATTTCAACAGGCCTCTTACAGCATGTACTTGTTGGATTTCTGCTCCATTGTATTATGTGGGGTTACCATTGAAAAGTGTCCAGAAATTGCAGTTAATGCAAAATGTAGCAGACAGATTGATAATTGATTCAAAGTCCAAGAACTGAGTGATGACACAAACAGAATGACAGTTGTGGTGAGATGGTGCCTGTTACATCATGAAGAGCTGGAATCGATGACAGAATGAACATCATCATAATATGATGTGTATATTGAAAAATCTGCGGTGATGGCCACCTGCTTAGTGGGCATAATTTATGAAGTTGGAATTAACCTCTAAAACCATAAATGGCTTAGGGACTGATTATCTAAGGCAGTGTTTCTCAACTTCTGCAACTTTAAGAACTGTGGACTTCAACTCCCAGAATTCTCTAGCAAGCATGCTGTCTGGGGAATTCTGGGAGTTGACGTTGACATTTCTCAAAGCTACTGAGGTTGAGCAACCCTGACCTAAGAGACTGCTTCTCATATGACAAACCTATGCAGCTGTTAAAATGTACAAGAGAAGCTCTTCCAAAGATGACCCAGTTGTCAAAGGCCCAAATTATTAGCAAATGGGGAACGCTCCTAAGGTATAGAATGTATTTGCCCCCCCTACACACACACCTATTTCCATATTTATAAAAACTGTAAAGATGCTTAATTTCTGCCAGACTTTTAACTATGAAATGTTATTTGGCGCTATTGGATTGTTACTTACTATTTACAGTTTTAACTTTGTATACTGCTTTTTGGTTTTTAAATTTTACTAGCCCCCATGAGTACTCACCAGAGTATAAAGGGGAAGTCTAGATCACATCAATCAATGAAGAACAAGGGGAGCACACCTGAGCCTTCAAACATTCTAGAGGACCACAGGAAACCATCAAGTAAAGGGCTGATATCACTGGAATAGATGCAGCCAAAATATTTCAGCCTCTTTTCTGCCATTTTGTCAGGGGGAAGAGGGTTGCTAAGGGTGGAATTGGGTGCCAGAGCTGTCTGGAAGAGTCTCACCCTAAATTCCTCTCCCATCCCCACCTGCCAAAACAGTTTGAAATCATGCTGTATATTTTCTGTTTTAAGCTATCCGAGATGATCCTTTATAATTAGTTTCCTTGCTGCGCTTTACTGTTTTTACTATATACAATGTAAAATACGGTGACCATTATATAGGAAAAAGCTGGAATAAAATCATAGTAATGAACAAACTTTAAAGTACTAATAAAGGGTTCTCCAGATCATTACAACTGCCTCATGAGCACTAGCTCACTACCCAGGGAACACAGTACTGGCATTTTGGTCCTCAAAAATCTTAATGGAAAAACTAATGATTTTATCATTATTAACCAATAAAGTAATGCTGGCATTACAAGCAGACATGCTGATAATCATTAATTATCAGGGAGCCAAAAGCTTTTAAAAACCATTTTCTTGTGCCCCCAATGTTCCCTGAAATGTTCTAAGTTGTGAAGATCAATCCCATAAATCTGGCATTTAGGCAAGGGGTAAAATGTTCCTGCGTCATACCTACATAGAACTATGAGATGCATGGGTGCTCTGCAACATAAGATGGATTGCAAAATTTTCACAAGGTACTTGTTCCAGCTCCACTGAATTTCATAACTTTATGTTAACTTGCAGCAAGAACAATTAGTTGCTATCTTAGTAGTCTGTTGATTAGGAATAACACCAGAAGCTGTTGCCGCATACCTATGGCAAAAACCTGAAAAGTTTAAGGTAAAATACGCTGGATATGCATGACAAATCCATCCAGGGTTCTCGTACAATGAAGAGCCAGCAGAGGAGAAGAGGAGCTGAACTGCATTCTTTTTCAGAATGTTCCTGACCAGTTGCCCCTTCGTGGTGGAGGGTCAACAGGATTTATGATCAAAACTCTACGAAGTCTGCAGAGAGTCTAAACGTCTCCCTTGTGTTCTCCTCTAAGGCAAGTGCTATAGCCCACTAGTCTTAAATCAAGTACTTAATAGAATGGCTCTATAAATTGATTAAATAAACAAACTGCATCTGCACACAAATGCTCCTAAATTCAATTTCTGGCACTTCCATTCCAGACTAGGCTGGAAAACCTTCTGCCTGAAATCTTGGAGAGCCACTAAATCAGCTGTAGACAATATTGACGTAGATGGACAATCACAGGAGGCTGCTTTCTATGTCATTATCATAAGTTTTGCTTGTTCCCCAGCCTTTCCTATTATACTTCATCACTGAGAATAATCAAGAGCCAAGGAGAAGGAAGACTGTACCCTGCTTTATTAGGTGTATTGATAGAAAGGCAATCTATACAGCACTTCTTACTAAAAAAAGGGCAAAGAGGAGTTGTGGCTTGCTCATTCATTTAAATAGCTTGTTGTTTGAGTCATCTGAGAACAACTGACTTAATTTGTCCTTTAGGCAAATTGAGTCTGGCCTTGATGTTACTTTTCCTTCTTGCTTTCAGTTTATAGTGCACTAATGATGAAAAGAGTTGAACGCAGTTGTCTGATCATCAGAAGATGCTGGGAGGTAGGAAATCTCATCTCCATTCCATTAGGGGAGTTGAACCGCTGATGGACAGCTGGAGCCCCCCTAGGCATGCATTTCTGGGATCAAGAATCGATTATAGCCAACCACTGACTAACTAGTACTGTACCACTGTGAACTTAACAACAGCCTGATATGCTGCTTCTTTGCACCATTCCGTCAAGTAGGGAGTGGAATGTCACACTGGTCTTGCTTCTTCAATATTTCTGATTGAGACACATATAGGGTGAATTCTCAACTTTGAGCAACTTTAGGTCATGGGCTGCCATAGGAAAAAAGGAAAAGAGGAGAGAACTGGGCACACAGGCCCCACTGTCTTTTGAACTATAATTAGTCCTGGCAATTCAGGATCCTCTGTTATCTTTTCCAGTTCAGCCCCAAGATGAGACTTCTTGGCAGCAATCTAACTGGAGGCTAGGTTGGAACCGTCTCTTGCATTCTTTTGCAAAGCAATACAGAGGGAGCTATACTGCCTTTGAAAGCTGATGTTGCCCAGTATTGGAGCAGTTCCTGTAGTCCTTGTAATGGTTTTTGTTTTTCCCCTTAAGTATTTTGCTACGTTGTTATGCCTTCTGCTTTCAACTGTATTTTACTAGTTTTTTTTTTAATTATTATTATTGTAAACCACCATATGTCACAAGCATACAAACGTGAAGAAATAAATAAATCATCTTTAGGATGCAGTGAAGAAGCATTTTTCATCCCTTTAGGGCAATATGCAGAGCAATAGTAGCATTAGAGGCAGAACCAAGTTATTTGGTATACACTGCCAATTTTCCTATAGATCAGGTTTACATAAGAGTGCTTTCTACTAAGTATAGTAAGTAATTATTACTTTTTTCTAACAGCTTTACTAATTGTACTAATGTTCCTTTGCCAGTGTGTTCTGGTACACTGAACTGTTTTACTTCCTATTAAATGCTTTGCAAAGGTACTGGATAATGATAGAACAATTCCCATCACACAAATGGATGGATACATTAAATTGATTTAAATACAATTATGTGCCTTTCTGAAAAGTCCTGCTTGTTCTTTTCTGCTGCAACTCTTTATATAACTTGCTGTTTGTTAAAATACATGGATGGAGGATACAGCAGAGAACAATCACAAGAAAATGGAAAGGACCACTGTGAAACATTTAGTGTCTTCAGCTCAGTTGGAAAACTGGGGTTGCAAAGTGTCAAGTCTACATACAACAAATTAGCAAAAAGTACCACAATGTGAAAAGTAATTACCTTTGGAGCATACTTTTTCTCACTGAAGGAGATGGTAAAGCTTAACCATTGAAAAGTACACTTGGACTGTGCATCCTGACACTTCTCACAGAGGACAGAGAGATTAACTATTAGCACAGAGATCATGTTCTGGAAATGCCCTGAGGTGCGTCCTGCCCGGTGCATCACTCTGTGAGAAGCTGTTACCCTGAATGGAGGTAGGCCTTTTGAATTAACTTTGCTATAACTAGACAAGTGATGATAGAGCTGTAATATGGAACAGATCATTATAATATTAGAAATTGACCAGAGGACAGACCTGCACTTCTGACCACCAGAGACAGCCAGAATTTGTACTAAATATTTTAGATAATCGTATTCCAGACTTAGCAATATTGAACACAGACCCTGAAAAAAATCAAGTGTTTTTTTTTTTTAAATTGTGCTTGGAATGTTTATGTGATAGCTGTCATTTGGCTTGATTAGATTTCTTCCTGGAACTGATCATACTCATTTCTAGTCTTAGTACAATACTGCCAAAATAATTTTATTTTGTACATTATGCACTATACCAAGTGAAGATTTACACTCATCTACACATACATAAGTAAACATGCTGAAAGAGCATGTTGAAAGTATATGCTGAGATCCGTGAGTAGAAAGAAGGTGAACTAAGTTACTTTGGGCTAAGCCTTTTCTCCATACCCCATGTGTCACTAGTGAACTTACAGCCTGCTTTATTAAAATGGGGAGGGGGAAGAAATCACCATTCTTTTCCAAACATCTGGATGCACTCAGTTTAACACACTGTCAATTTTTTTAAGGCATGATAAAAAAAAAATTGTATGAAACAAGCGCTGTACTGAATAAAACAGATTTAAGATTTCTACCACTAATTTCCTGGCTGTACAATGAGAGAGAGAGAGAAAACTGATAAAACATTCCTTAATTACTGAACAACATTATTCCACGGGTACATCACCTTTCTTGCGACATGCACTGCTAGGATACATTCAAAGTAAGCTCATGTAAAGTTGAATCATGGGCATAAGTATTAACAAAACTAAATGTGAACATCTTGACCTTAGAAGTGACTTTCAGGTGTGTTTCCCTCCACATGGCAGAGCGTAGGGGAGGATTGTACAAATTGAAAAAAATGGGTCAATATGGTTGGCTTTGATATGATGTGGTTGTTTTTCATTCATACTTGCCCATTACAATAAATAACTTCTGTGCTGACATAAATGACACTTCTTCACTGTAATATGCAATGGTAGCTTATAAAACAAAAGATATCGGTTTGTTTACTCTTGCAAGTGACTGACTGGAAACTGTTGGATATACAGTAAGCAAGTGTGGAATGTCTTTGGATGTCCTGTTCAGTACATGGGAAAGAAGAAAAGCAGGAAGAAGAGACAGGAAAAAAATGATCAAGATGAAGAATTACTTACAGTCCTCTGAGGCGAAGCCATATTTTCTCTATTTGTTCCGGTTGTAAGTATTTCAAAGAGTTGCTTTCAAATTCTTCAATTTCCTTTGTTGGAGACTCCATTGCTCTGTGTTTTTTCACTTTGCTTAAAGCTTAGAGAATGGATGCATCCCCCGAAACATGCACAAGCTCCAGTTTTGTTTTTCTTTTTGTTGTTTTAAGACTGACCAAAAGCAGCAAACATTTTTTTTCCTTGCCTTCAAATATTCTCCACCCCTTTGTTCCACACTTTGGTTAGAAAGAGGGTATGCAACCAGCAAGAATTTCAGGTGTTCTCTGAGGAGGATCTTGGTGGCATGCCATGCTCCTCAGAGCAATAGATGGGATTAGAGGCTGAGCTCCAGATGGAAAGCAACCACAGATACTTCTTTTGATTTGTTTACTCAAAAAGCCAAGGATTCAATCAGTAATGCCCGCTGAAGGATCTTTCTCAGGGCGAGGGAGGGTGGGGTAGAAAAACCGTTGCTGACAATTCAGCTGCTTGAATAGAAGGCCTGAAAGTATTTGCAGAAGTACAGCATTCAGTTCTCTGCCTTGCAATCTGCGGGACTCTCTGTCTTTGCTCTCTGGTCTGAAAAGCAGCCTTCTTCCCTTCCAAAGCTGAATCCTTCACTCCCTCTAGCTCTCTTTGCTTCACACACCCACAAATGCCCTCCCCTTCTAGTGTTCTTCCACTTACCAGCCGCTTGCTTTGCTGACAGGCAAGAAAACCGTCAACTGAGGAAAAGTCATCTGTCAGCACAAGCCTGCCAACGTCTCCCTCTTTCTCCCTTTCTTTGTTACTATATTTCATAGGCAAAAGTACCCAACAGAACTATAGGAATGAAGTGAGAGATGATCTCACCAAAGGGGGAAAAGCTGGCTTCAGTTCAAATAGATCAAGCAAGCGAGTAAAGCATTACTGCCCTTCTGGAGAAGTCATTTGTTTTGAGGACAGTTTGCCATGCCTTCGTAAGGTAGCAATGGATGAAGAGAAAGCTGTGTGTAAAAGTAGTTTAACGTTTTCAGGGAAGCTAAAATCAAGTATGGATCCACTAAACAGGAAACTTAACATTAATTGCCCCCTCCCAAATTAAGCAAGTTCAACAAAACGGAATTAATTATAAGAGCACTAACAGATGAAAAATAATCACTTCAGAAAAATTTCCATCACTGAAATCATTTACTGAAAAAAAGGAATCAAGCCTCAATTGAGATTGATTCCTTACAAGTTTTTGGCTTTTGTGGGGGAAATATTTCTCTTGCATTAGACGTGTGACTTTCTGCAAAAGTGTTTTTCTATAGGTTAAGGATAACTGTGGTTTGTCCTTCATATGATTATTTTATAACAAGTTAAAAGGTCTTAAAATCTTATGTGAATCTAATGTGTTTATAAATCTGAATTATGTGTTCATACATATTTGTTTTGTGCATATATCTGTCAGCTGAAAATTTTACATTTTGTGCATTTGATGAAATGATTGGGCTAATGAAAGCTTATACATTAATATATTTGTTCATCTTTAAGATACCTCATATTATTGTTTTTGCGATAGGCTCATCCATGTAATATAAATTTTATTACTGTAATCCAGAGGTGCAGTTCACCGAAATTTTATTCAAGAACCTAAGACAATTCTCACTCAACATTCTGAAATCTCATATATCTTTTCCCCAAGACTCTCATGCTTCCTTAAATATATAAGGAACATACATATATTTCATCATGTTCCAGTTGAAAATATCAGACAAGTATCTGCTTACATACATATTCAAATAGTGTGCAATAAAACCATAGATGTGTCTGTCACTCTTGATGAGATGTACAAATATTATGCATTCTCAAAACCCAAAAAGCATGAGAAACAAGATGCAGCTTTATAAATCTAAAGTATTATCTCAAGTGTTTTTATTCTTATTTTATTTTTAACATGTTTTACTTTAAACTCTGGTCTATGAATGCAATACATTTTATCTATCTACTTTCTCAAGATGCATCAACAACCACTATGTGATAGTTAATATCTGATAAACCATATAAACTAGCTATAAACTGCCTAACTGAAGCCAAGGAGATTGCATCTTTGGCTACAGTACATCCATAACAATAAGCAACATTATATATGTGTGTGTTTGTGTTTGTGTGTGTGTGTGTGTATTGATTATATGCCATCAAGTTCTTTTTGACTATGGCCATAATAAAAGTTTGATTTGATCTGACCTGATCCCTTCCCCACAAAGCACATCCAGTAATAACAGGAGGACTTCTGCTCACATAGTGGGAATTCCCCTTACTTTCCTTTGCCATAATTTTTTTTTTTTTTTGTGGGGAGGGGCGGCATTACAAATCTGTCCAGAGAACCTTCCAACCCTCCACAGTAGATCTATAACTACACAGAGGGTTGAAGGTCAGAAAGAATCTATTCCTCTGGCTGATGCAATTCTATCAATGAATCATACAATCCTATAACAACAGACATAGAACAACTGAAATAGCTCTAATATCAAATGCTGCTCTTTAAACCTTAAAGCCACACATATATACTAGAAGTCCTAAAAATAAACAATTGTTAAGTGTTTTCCCATGCATAAGAATAGGTTGGAAAGACAATACA